CAAGCCAAAGGGCCTCCGCTCAGACTAGCTCGGTTTGAGCAGGCCGCTTGGCAAGCTTTATGATGCGTTTTCATTGTGACGTCACAAGTAAAGGAAGTGAAGGGCTGCACTACAAAGGAGCTGTTTTCAGAGCAGTGCTTTCTGTGGGAGATGGGAACTCCCTTTGGGCTTTTTCACTTTGCAAACCTGTTACATGCACAAAAAAGACATAACTCAATAAAGGAGAGAGGAAAAGCCAAAAAGCACAATACCACCTCTTTAATTATGTTATATATTATATTTTTTAACTCTTTTTTTGAAATGGCAAATCATTTCATTTTGGCTTGCTCTGAAAAAAATTTAAACATTTACTAGTTTTTCTCACAGTTTCCAATGACTTCCCCTGTGTGAAATACAGCTTTGTAAAATCTATGTTAATTCTGGGAATTCCCTGAAACTCAGGATCTCTGCGGTAAGGATCTCTGCTGTTAGTCTGCAGCTCTTAGCACATGAGGTGTCACATGTTGTGAAGCCTGAGCAGCCTCAAAGGCGTGAAATCACCTGAAAACCACTGATCTCTGTGGTTTTGCTGTTGATGATGAAGTATAAAACAAAGACAGCAGCATCACTCTGCTTTGTTTTAGTGTAGCTGAGGGGTGGACTGCCTGCTGGTTTTCACTTTACAAATGTAAATGAGCAAATGTAAATGTAAATCTAAAGTAATGCTTTTTTTTCAATAGCTTCCATGTCATGTGACCTACCGACTCCAAACCAATGCCGACTTGTAGTAGTACATTAGGCAAATCAGACACACCTCTTCATTTTAGATTTGAGTACTTGTTTTATTTTATATAAATATTTGTGAAAATTGGTTTGGAGTCCATGAATCACATGACATGGAAGCTACTGAAAAAATATTTTTTTCCCCATAAAATATTAATAAACTGTTTGAATGTAACTAGGGATATGACTTCATATAGGCCTACAGTAAAGTGTTTCCTGTTTTCCCAGTCCAGTGCAGCCCAAAAAATGTTCCACCACAGTTTCTTAATCAGTGTTGGGAGTAATGCGTTACAAAAGTAAGGCAAGCACAGTAATGCACTGCTTTTTGTTGTAACACAGTAATATTACACATTACTAAAAAAAAATTAAAAAGTGGTGTTTTGTTTTTTTAATAATTCACCAACACCAAGTTTCGGCAGCAGAAAAATAAATCCATGAGTAAAAGAGTAACGTTATTTCCTGTTGGTCGAAATTGTTGGCAACTACCAGGGAGCTCAGCTCCACTTAACAAGACGATAGCTCCCCTGATGGATCATGGTAAATAGATTTCTAAAGCCTATTTGTGCTTTAACAAATTACTTTCATTATTAGAGAGACTGCCAATGCATTCTCATCTCATTACCAATGCTTTCAGACAGCGCATAGGCCTAGCCTAATTATTTTAAGCTAAAGGTACCCTACAGCGGCCGATGTGCACAGCTATAGGTTTGGTCGGTCAACATGCATAAAGTCAGTGACTTAGGTTTAGGCACTAACATTTCTGATGGTTGTGGTAAGGGTAGGATCAGCTGGTAAACCCAACCCCTCCTTGTGCCTCAGCTGGAAGTAATGATGACTGTGAATTGTTTTTATCTTATTTTACCAATAAGGTGGTGTCAATCAGAGCCTCTATTACCCCCACGGCCTCTTACTCAGAGGTCCCTCTCCAGCAACAAGAGAGTTTTAACCAGTTTTATCTCATCAACTTGTCTGAGCTTTTAAAAACAGTATCACAAATGAGAATGTCCTCCAGCCCACTTGATGTAATACCTACAAAGGTTTTACTGAAAGTAATGGATTCTGTTGGGCCCCATTTGATCTCTGTTTTTAACAGCTCCCTATCTACTGGTTGTGTCCCTGATTATTTTAAAATGGCTTGCGTGAACCCACTTTTAAAGAAATCTGGTTTAGATCCCTCCCTCCCACAAAATTTTAGACCAATTTCAAAACTGCCTTTTATTGCAAAGATTTTAGAAAGAATTGTGTCCAAACAATTACTCACTGTACTGGAAGAAAATGATATATTTTAAAAGTTCCAATCTGGTTTCAGGAAGTACCACAGCACTGAGACTGCCCTGCTTAAAGTCACCAATGACCTTTTAATGTCTGCTGATGAAGGCATGTGCTCAGTCCTGGTACTCCTGGACCTTAGCGCTGCTTTTGACACCATTGATCACAACATCACGTTAGACAGACTGAGGCACTGGGTGGGGATCTCTGGTCCTGCCCTAGAATGGTTTTCATCCTACCTGTCAAATAGGAAGTTTTGCGTGTCTGTAAACAACTATGTCTCTTCGTTCTGTCCAGTTAAATATGGTGTGCCTCAGGGGTCGGTCTTAGGACCCATTTTGTTTTCCTTGTATCTGCTTCCCCTTGGACATATTATCCATAAACATGGTATTTCTTTTCATATTTATGCTGATGACACACAAATATACTTGCCCGTCAGATCCACAGATCCTGGAATGCTGAGATCACTTAACAACTGCCTTTGTGAAGTTAAAAAATAGATGTCAAATAATTTCCTCCAGCTGAACTCAGACAAAACAGAAATCCTGGTCATTGGGTCCCAGCAGATGGCAAACCAAATACTGCCATCTGCTGGTTCCCTAGTAAATGACATTAAGCCTGTTGCAACGAACCTTGGTGTCTGGTTTGATAGTAATTTAAATTTCGAGCAGCACACCACAAAGCTTGTTCAATAATTTTTTTATCAACTTAGAAATATAGCAAAAATTCGATCTATGTTAACTTTTAAGGACACTGAGACCATTTTACACGCCTTCATCTCATCACGCCTGGATTATTGCAACAGCCTTTTCACCTGTTTAACCCAAAAATCTATTGATCGACTCCAGACTGTCCAGAACTCAGCTGCCAGGCTTTTAACCAGAACAAAGTAATATGACCACATCCCAATGTGTTTTAGACCTGACTTTAAAATTTTATTGATCACTTTTAAAGCTCTTCATGCTCTCTCGCCTTGTTATATATTAAGTCCCTTCTTAAAACATACTTTTATAGGAGAGCCTTTCCCGATTTTATTTGACTTTATCTTATCCCTTTTATTTTATTCTATTTTACTTAATTTATATTTACTGTATTATAGTCTTTTCAATGTTTTCTTGCTTTTATCTTGACTTTATCCTTTGTTGGATGGTTATCTTGTATTGTTTTTGTATTATTGTCTTTTGGGTATTATTGTCTTTACACTTGTTAAAGCACTTTGTAACTTGTTTTTGAAAAGTGCTCTACAAATAAAGATTATTATTATTATATTATTAACACTCTTCTTCTTAATGAAGCAAAAACACTGTGAAACTTCTCCTTATAACATAAAATGTCATTGTTTCTTGCCATTGTTTTGGCAAAATATCTGTCAAAGAAAATAAAATTCAAAGCACCATATGGCTCTGTTCCCCTATCAAATCGCAAAAGACTGCAATTTAAATAAGTTTAATACGTCCCCGTGACCCTGTATGCAGGAAAAGCGGTTGACGATGGATGGATGGAAGTTTAATACGTATAAATAAGATATTAAATCACTATAAATAAGTTATTTAAAAAGTAACTAAGTAACTTTTACTCTGAGTACATTTTAAAGGAGGATGGAGTTTAAATTTTAGAGGTTTATGGAGAAGGATGTTTCTCATAAACTGAGCTCTGCATTGCTACAAGCCGATTCTTAGAGCTGCAGCAGCCTGAGGCGGACATCAGTATACCGAGGAATGACTGAGTAAACAAAAGGATGCTATTGATTTGCCATGCACACACTCATCTTGTGACAACTAGGGCTGGGCGATATGGCCTAAAAATAAAATCTCCGATTTTATTTACTTTAATTCAATTTACGATTTTTTCCGATTTCCCCCCTACTTAAGGAAAGCAATAAGGTTTGTTGGTCAGTGCGGCTTTGTTCATCGCGGAGAGACTGGCATTTTTCATATTCGGCTGGATGTCTCTGTTTCAGGTGTTGGAATAGGTTTGTGGTGCTGCTGCCTTTCACTGCGATAGGCTTTAGGCAAATGTTGCAGCGTGGTGTCTGTTGTTCCACATCTGTCGCAGCAAACCCATACCAGTTCCAAACAACAGATGACTTTATTCCTTTCTTGGGAACAAACTTCCCGCTCTCACCGGTAGCCATTTTGTCGCTTGCTGTTGCTGTTTAGTGTATGATGTTGTCGCTATGGGAAACGAACACTACGGAAACCCCGGGGAGCCAAAAATGTGCTATTACACAAAAACTCGATTTACTTATTTTTTAAATCGCCCGCAACAAAAAATTCGAATTAATTCATTCAATCGATTTTTCGCCCAGGCCTAGTGACAACCATGCATAAGTAGCTTTAATGTCAAGAACAGGCATGACTGGAGCTTTGATCACAGATCTCACCACTCTCTCCATCCTAAACCAGACTTCACGTCAGGTGCGTTTTGATTTGCACTGGGAAGAAAACATCCACTGATTTTCCAATAATGCACAATATTATCCTGCTTCAGGCCTGTTTGTTACTTTGTGTTCATTTGAATAATTAACATTCACTTTATCCATCTTTTGCAGCTTTTTCTCCATTTTAGGTTACTGTACACACTCCTGAGTGCTTCATTGGAGATATTGCATCTATATCAGGAAATCAGAAAAAGTTTTTTAATTTGTGGTTCACAAGTAAAAACATTGTTAGCTCAGGTGAGAATATAAAGTTTAATAATAATATCAAAACAGTTCTTGGAAAAGACAACAATAATTACGAAAACAGTACTCATATCTGTTCTTACAGTTGAACAGAGGGGGCGGTGCCAGTTTGTAGACTCCCAATGATGTCAGAGGTGAGAAGAAACTTTATGGTAATTCAGGTCTGAGGCTTTCTTAAAGAGACTGACGAGACGTTTGCTAAGTCTGTCTGGGAGTTGTGTTGGGGTTCAGGACTGCTGGGTGTGGATCAGGGTTCAGAGAGAAGAGACACACAACCAAATCCAGGATGACGACTCTGAACCTGGTGCTGCTGGTGTTGGCATTTATATCTGCCACTGCGACAAGTGAGTACATCTGAATCAGGTCAATTTCCTGACAAGACCATAACATACTTTTTTTCTTTCTAAGACTAAATATATAGTTTAATAAGTAATCATCAGCCCTGCTATCAAAAAAGTGATTTTTCAATGTACATGTAATCCACTAGAAAACAACTTTTTGTCACTGTGCATCTACATTGAGTTTGTTTTCTATTTCATTTTACACAAAAGATTTAAAAACAAGAGAAACTGCAAAGGGATAAAGTGGAAATACACTATTCTCCCCTTTAGTTTTTTAGAGTTTGATTAAGAGTAAACATTAAGTAATACCAAAGTAATAAACAGCAAATAGCTTGGTACTGATAATGGTTATAGCTGGGTAATATTTATTAATATATGTAACAGCGTAAGGAGGGGCCAAAAACAAAGGTTTACAATGGGGAAACACATTTGAAGATAGCAATGACATAAATAGGTCCCTTTATGTTTTAATAATATTAAAGGTTACTATCAGCATCATACCTTCAAAATCACATGAAAATTCTTGGAAGTCAAAATTGGTAATAAATACCATATTATAACACTAAAGCTAAAGAAAGACACTAAAGAAAAAACCTGCGGTAGTTTGTGTGTAATAACCATTACTCAGGGCTGCCAAAATGCTAAACCACCAGCATTATGACAATTATTACCAATTTTGACTTTCAAAACATTTTTATGTGATTTCAAAGGCATTTTGCTGATAACAGCTGATAATAGTGTGAAAACATCAACATTTCTATCATTATGTTCAAAACCTGCATGATTATCATGGAAAAGTTGTGCCCCTTTTAAAAAGCAACTCTGCTTAAATATGTAGTTAATGGTATAACCAATATCTCTCACCAACAAAAATATAAATATCATATTAACTAACTGACAAAAAACTGAAAAACTGAAACATAGTTTTGCAGTTAAGGAATAGATTGTAAAGATAAAATAGCTTTCTAAAAATCTTAACATGCTTTGCAAATGTTGCCTCACTTGAAATTCTTTGGATTCTTTGGATTATTTCTTATCGATTGTGTTGGTTGATGATGATACTTGGGAGAATAACATGATGTTGCATGATGGGGCTTCTTTTCCTGAAGAGTTTGTAATACTATCTTTTCCAGAGCCGAGAAGTAAGTTCGCAAGTTACCGCTCATGGAACTCAAAAATGTATCCGGTGTGGAGAGATGGAGACCGGAGATTCAGGAACTCTTGGCTTGGTGAGGCTCATTCCTCTATTTCTAAAAACAGAAATGCTATCAAAAGATTTTCTCTGCCATTTAATCTAAAGATGTTCTTCTTTCCAGGTGGTGAAGTAACTTTCGATCTCAAAAATGATGCACCCACTCTGACTGGAGCAAGAGTGACCTTCTCTATTAATCTTAATTTCCCACCAAGCCAGAGAGTGCTCTCTGACGGGCAGGTGGTCTGGGCGGAAAACACCACAATCAACGGTAAGACAACCTTTCCAGAAACAGCAAGTGACTCTGCAGAGGGCACGTACCGCAGGTTACTATGTAGCCTAGTGTGATGTCATTATTTTTGATATTTCATTCATGCTCAAAAGAAGTAACAAACAATTATGAACGGGAAGCTGATCAGTTTATTTCAGATGTGACGGCAACATGATCTTCATCTCAACACCATGTCACATTTTTTGAGATGGTGTTTCCTAAAGAAATAAATAACTTACAGACACTTTGTTTGTGGTAGAAATGATAATTTTGTTAATTACTGATTAACTGACAATGTTTTATGATGTTTCATTATTATAGGACAAAAGACAAGTTATTCTTATTTTATTTCACCTGTGTTGCCTCATATTGATCTAAAATACCATGTATCTGTTGTTATTGATGTTGGTCCATGGTCATCGTCTTTTTCAGGACAGCAGTATCAGGAGGGTCAGGCTGTGTATCCTGACCAGGACACCGAGCAGACCGGAGTTTTCCCTGACGGCACACCGTTCCCCATCAGTCAGAACAGGAGACCCCACTACGTGTTTGTGTGGAAGACATGGGGTAAATATATTTAATTTAGTAATAAATAGTCTGCTAAATATAGGCTGCTCATTAGTTGTAATTAATGCTGCAGTAGTAACATTGTGCTTCAGTTTAGGTAATTCCTTGTGAGCACAAAAAACAACTCACAGTTACAATGTTACAGACAACCCTCAATGATGAGAAAAAGGACCAACTGCAGCTTTGAAAACATTACATTAACATGTCAAACCTCCATAGAGACAAAGACCATTAAAACTCTGTAAGAGAATAAAAGGGAAGTTTCTCCTCCAGCCAGTGAAGTTAAAGTTTAACATTTGCCTCAGGCCGTATCACAAACACAACCTTTTCAGTGAAAAACTTGTCTACCCTAAAAATGATCTGCTGTTACATTTTATATTTGTCATGAAAAAAATCACTTTTACACCTGAAGACCTTCTTAAATTGTGCTGTTAACTCAAGAAAATGATGTTGTTGTTAACTTGCACTGTGAATAATTTGTATTATGTGGATTAAATTAGTGGTGTTAGTTTACCATTTTTAGTTCATCAGGCGTACTTGCTTTGGTAAACGACTTATGAAGTCTAACAATATTCAAGTGAACATGCTGTTGTGACAATAGCTGATCACCTAACCAGCAAAGAAGAAGCCAGCAGGACTTTTCACACTGCACTTAGCCCCAGGCTAAGGGAGCTGTTATTTCGGGGCTAAAGTACACAAAAATGTAAACATTAGTCTTGTCTTTTAAATGATATTTTTACCAGTCCAAGTAGTTGGGCAGCATGAGTCCTATAGCTTCAGTTAACAATGTGTATGTGAGAAGGGGCTGTCATCACAGGGTCAACTCTTGGGCTAATTATGCAGTGTGGAAAACCCTCACCTGTACTAAAGGTCACAACGTTTGCAGACGTTTTTGGCTTTTTTTACTAAAAGTCTGTTCCTCAGAACAATTCTGAAAACAAAAAGTACACTTTATTCTGTTTTGCTTCACAGTGAATCAAATGCAGGCCTTTGTTTTACTTTACCACCATTACAATAGTATCTCATGTATTATATAATGAAAGTGACACCTTGATTACCAAACCATCCTAAATAATCAAAATGTTGCTCTATTCAAGGGCGTTACTGGCAGGTGGCAGATGGACCATCCTCCTCCCTCTCTATCGGTACAGACAACATCCCCCTGGGCTCCTACAACATGGAGGTTGTCATCTATCACTACCGTGGAAAAGACAAGTTCATCCCTCTCGGCTATGCCTCCACAGTCTTCAGCATCACAGGTGACCTACCAAACAATTTCTAACCTAACTTGAGGAAAAGGATTCTACAATGTTTGTATTTTTTTAAAAACACTGTTATGCTCCGTCATCAGACCAGATTCCATTCACCATATCACTCGCTCAAGTAACTGATGTCAACCAGGACGACCAGAACTTCATCCAGAACCAAGCTATTACTTTCAGCATCAATCTCCATGATCCCAGCCAGTATCTCAACAGCGCCAACATCAGCGTCAGCTGGGACTTTGGTGACAGCACTGATATTCTGATATCCAAAGACCTCACTGTCACACACACATACCTCGCAGTCGGGAACTTCACACCTCAGGTGGTTCTCATGGCAAGCATTCCCAACAGCTGTGGAAACCCCACTGCTGGTGAGATTTTAAACTAATTATATTTTATGTTTATGTTAAGTACATATGTACTGTCCTATAAGTTGTCTGAACTAAGTTTTGCTCAGTTGTTTCAAACTTTTTTTTCAGTTGTTCCTACTGATGCAGTAGCTGCGCCAGCAGTTGATGTGATGGCCTCCACCCCTGCAACTGTCCCAGCAGCACCAGACGAGGGAGGAGATGCAATTGCTCTGGATGTTGCTGATGCCACTCCACTTGCTGCTTCTGTGCAGCCAGCTGAAGCAGCCACAGAAGATGGAGAAGCAGTTGTTGATGCAGACACAGAGGCAGTAGAGGTTGCTTCAGTAGCACCCGCAGGAATTGATGCAGCTGTTGTTCCAGAGGAACAAGATCCCGCCAACGCTGTTGCCTCTGTTGCAGAGGGAGAAGAAGCAGCAGTTGGGGTCGCTGATGCTGTCACTGCTGCTCCTGTAGCAGAAGTAGCTGTAGAGCAACAAGCTGATGTTGTGGCTCCTGATACTGTTGATGCTGCTGCTGCCATAGAGGTTATTGAAGTTGTAACAGAAGCCCCTGTTGATAATGTCGTAGCCCCTGCTGCCACTGAAACCACATCAATAGAAGATGCAGCACCAGCTGATGCCGCAGTACAGGCAATTGAATATGAGGTTGCAGCTCCTGCAAGTGAGTACTTAATGTAAATTAAAACAACACAAAATAAAAAATCAAGCTCTTTTAACAAAAGCATTATGACAAATTGTCTCTTATTTTTCCAGTGCAACCAGCGGGTGATGAAGTAGCTGTTCAAGCAGAGGTGGAAGCAGATCCAGCACAGGTTGCCCTTGTTCTGGTTAAAAGACAAGCTCCAGAGCTGATGGCTGACTGCATGATCTTCCGCAATGGCTCCCTCACCACCACTGTAGATGTTGTCCGTAAGTCAATATAGTTTTTGTAGTTATGGCCTTAAACCTAAACAGATCATTTTATGCTTTAGTAGAAACAGTATGATTTAATAATAATAATAAATTTATAATTTAACTTTTTTCTACCTCTTTTAACGCTCCAGAGGGTATTGAAAGTGTAGAGATTGTTGAGGTGTCCAACGTTGTATCAGTGGCGACTGAGTTGGATCAAAATGTTGTGGACATCACCATTGACTGTCAGGGAAGGTGAGCAGTGACATTCATCAATTACACAAGCTAGTTGAAAGTTTGTTAATTTATATCAGTCTACAATTAGGCTACAGAGCACACAGAGAGGATCAAGAGGTTCACTTACTGTTCAGCTCAAGTGTATTGATTTGTCTTGACGTTCTTTATAACTAATACAAAAATGATCTTCTGGTTAGCCTACACTGAAACACATTTGTGAAAATAACATATCCATTTAGGATTGCTCTCCTTGTAACTATGTCTCTGTACCTTCACTATCCTTCCTTCAGTCTGCCAAGTGAGGTCTGCACAACCATTTCTGATGCTGACTGTATCACACCGGTGGAGACCATCTGTAATGCAGCCACACCCTCTCCAGACTGTCAGATGATCATTCGTCAGGTCTTCAATGACACCGGAGTATTTTGCATCAATGTCTCGTTGACCAATGATGTCAGTCTAGCTGTGGCAAGTGCCAGAGTCAGTGTAGCAGCAGGTGGGTGAAAGAAAAATGTATTAATAGCCACTAAAGTACCTCTAGATAATTCTCTCATTAGTATAATGTGCTTCAATTTCAGCCTCTGGTGGTTCCTCAGCTGGAACTGCAGCCACAGTCGTGGGCGTTATGGTTCTCGCCTGTGTTGTCTGTTGCATTGGTTTGATGCACAGGTGAGTTCCTAATATATCAATCTAATTTAATTTGAGGTTTAATGAAACATTAGACAAATAAAATTTGTGATTAACAAAACCAATAAATCATTCATTATAAGCTGTAATTATGATAAATTGATTATCCTGGTTTCATTGTGAAAAACATGTTTCCGTTACTCTTATCCTCAGCATTAAATCATCATACTTTGAACCTATTTTAATGTGGGTGGGTCCTATAGACCTTTCTCCCATGCAGCGCTGGATTGGGACATTGGACAGGTCATTTTTGGGCCAGGTGGCCCACCCCAATCGGTCAGACACCCCTCACCAATACACCATCCTTGCAGTCCCCTTAAATATGCACTTACTGTTATATTCCCCTAAACCACTATAAATCTGAGTAGTAAGAGCAGTGGATAAGTGTACCAGTGCAGGTTGATCAGTATATTCAGTCGCATTTTACTGACTTCCTGGTGGGAGTACACAACGCATACTCAAGTACAAGTACAAGTAATTCTCAAAGAAAAAAAACTCAAGTCACAGTGTCATTTCAAATTAGTAGTAGGTCCAGAATTGTTGGAATTCCCTGATAAAGCTGTACAGTTTCAACAATATAATACTGGGAATGAGCAAATAGCTGTTTTTTCCAAATCAAAGTCACAGTCACATGCATCCTCCTCTGTGGTTATGGCTGTCCTTTCCTCCTTCAAGTACCTGTGGCTGCACAATGTCGGGGACTGAAACGCTTCTGGCCCCCCCTTGCACTTTGCTTTGTCTATTATGACGCCTTTATCCATCCACAGATTTCTGGCTCTAAACCTGCAGCTTCTGACATGAGAAACATGACAGACATGAGGGCAGTTGGGGGCTATTAAGAGATGTGATTGGGCCAGCCCAGTGTCAGTACAGAAAATTATTTGTGGGCCACTGCCTGTCTTTGCTTTATGGACCAGCTGTTGACCCATTATAATTTTTTTTATAATTAATAAATAAATTATTTTAATGATATCGTCCCCAAGATGCGTCCCCCCAGTGGCCAGATTCCCAGTCCAGCCCTGCTCACATACGATTTTTTTACTTATCATATCAGGAAAAGCACAGGTGTTAACATTAATGATGGCTAAGGGTCAGAAGCCATGTCAGCAAGCCAGCATGCACAATATCAAATCATATTTTCAAAACTGCAGCATCAGCAGCATATAATTTACATACACAGTATTAGGAAGTTTAGGGGGCCAGGGATCCCTGTGGATGTCCAAATGGACAGCTTCCTGATCAGAGTCTGTACAACAATGCTTTGAGCTAACATCAGCATGCTAACAATGACAGGATCAACATGCTGATGTTTAACAGGTAGGGGAGAGCGAAGGCGAAAGTACTGTTTTTCAGAAAAACATGATTTTAAAGGATAAGGTTTCAGACAGAGATATATTTTTGCTGTGATCACTCACTGTGAAGTCACAGGTGTGGTCTATCAATATCAGGTGGTATTTTGCACAAATGTAGAACGACTGCTGTATAATATAACTTTAAAAGTGGCACAATGTTACTTTCGACCCCGTCAGCTTGGACCAAAGTAACACACAGGTGGGTCAACAACATGACTGTGACCTTGTTAATGTGTAACTGCAAATATCTTTTATCCTTTATCTTTAAAAAATAATTTAAATTACATTTTTATTTTAAATATTCACTTTCAAAAGTAACCTGACAGCCTAAACTTGAATTGCTTAGAATATTTCATATTATATTAAGGATATATTATAAATATAATATATAAATATGCAAATGTGTGCACCTAAAACAGGGGGAAATGGTAAGATGGACATTGTTTATGAACCTGACATGATTAACATAAAACAAGAGACTTTACTGATCCTGCACTGGGGGTATTTGCATGTTGCAGCAGCTTCAGAGACAGTGGAAAAAATGGAAAAAAACATAATGTAGAAAGATATGGATTAAATGTAAATAAAAATAAGGTAAAAACCAATAAGCTAATAAGAGCAAATACAAATTTCACATTTTTGTAATGACTTTAAAATTGTTTTAGTAAGAGCAGTGTGAGTGAGCTGCATGTTGAGTGTTTTTTAACAACTGTAGCTTACTGACCTCCTTAGTCAACATGCCAAAATAAATATCAGCTGCCCTCTTGATGTAAGCCTGCAGCTTCTTCACAGAGAAGACTCTAGAATATGATCTGTACCCTGGCGGTCTGGTCTTCTCCCTACTGGTCTCTGCCCTCCTCCTGCAGTACCTGAGCAAAGTGACATGGCATATGCCATGCGACTTAGCAGCTGCCCTGAGACTGATGTTTCTGACAGAGATGTCCAGAAACGCCGTCTCACATACATCGTGCAGAATCAGACCTCTGTCTGTCTTTCTGACCTTCACTCTTGGCATATTCTGTTGGTATAATATAACATAAACATGTTTCAATACATGCTGCAACGCAGAGAAAGTCACCACATTAGCAGCGGGACAAAATAAACACTTGTGGTCAGGTGTAGCGGGACAAAAGTAACAAGTGTTAGGCCTACTTTAGTCCCGACTGGAACTCCTGAGATATAAACACGATTTATTTTTATACTGAACAACTGTGACAGGGCACTACTTCAGGGTGTGTTAAAGCACTAAATAACCTGTTAATTAATCATTACTGTGACACATGAAATGAGAGACACAACTTGTAATTCGAAGAACAGTCCCGCTTCAGAAATTTATTTACCGTGCTCAAAAACAGTTTTCCGGAGACTGCCGCGGGAAACGATGACGAAATCACCTGATATTTGACAGCTTTATCAAGGGTTGCATGCTGAAGGTGCTCTCACAGCTTGGACTGCAAATGCAATCAGGGCTCTGAGAAAATCGCCTTCTTTACTTACTTTCGTCCTGTGTTACTTTCGCCCCGGTTTACCCCTAATATTTACCATGTTCACCATCTAAGTTTAGCGTGTTAGCATGCTATCATTTACTAACAAGCACTGAATCAAAGTACTGCCTTGTATTACTTTTGCACATATTTTCTCAAAAAAGTATTTTATCATATTTCATGGGAATCCACCCAATACTTGTTGAGAAAATTCACTCAAAACCACAAATGTCAACTTTCTGGTGGTGCTAGAGGAAAAATCAGGGGATCACCAAAGTCAGTAAGATCCATCCTCTGGATGCATCCATGAATGTCTGTACAGAAGTTTGTAACAATCCATCAAATAGATGTTGACCAACAGGCCAACATTGCCATCCATCTAGTCACACAGCTAGTGTTGTTCATACATTGCCAATATTGACCAAAAAAACTTACCATCCCCCATGTCCAAATAATATCTTCTAGCAAAAAAATAATGTAACTGAATGATACTGCAAGAATGATGTTAAAACAAAGACAAAATAGGCAAACAAAAACAACCATTTCATGCAGTATAATTAGCACTACTGCAACACAAGAAGCATCTATCTTTCATCTTGTTTTGATTCCTTGTTTATTATTTTTATGATTTTGTTTGTTGTTGACAGGCAGTTTATTCTTCATTTGATTTCATGTAAACTCAAACGTTTAACAGGGGAAAACTACATAATTTAGTTGAACTTTGTCACTTCATTAGTGGGATCTCTAAATCTGTTCCAACTGTTTTATGTTTCTAAACAGACGGTCCAAGCAGTACCAACCACTAAGAGAAGACAACTTTGGAGGCAGCTCGGCGGTAACATCAGTGCCTTTGTTGTTGTGGACCTTGTTGAGCCGAGAGTCACCAGGAGAGAGTCGTCCACTGCTTCAGGGGAGGACTGCTTGAATATCATCATATTTTTAACTACAGTATTTTTTTAAAATTGGCGTTGATAGTTTATTGAAGCCATAACATATTCTCTTTTTTGTGGCCTACTTATACAAACCATCAAAACCCACCAAAATCAATGTTAACATATTTCAGTTAAATTTCTTTACAGTTTATTTAGAATTACTTGCATTATTGAACTGTTTGCCACCCTGAAATAAATAAAACAAAACTTTATCACCATAATTTGTTTGCTTTTTCCCATTTATTTCCTTTTTATTTGCATGTGATATTCATATGATTTTATGTCAAGAGGGAAAAGAGCAGATGAAAGTGGCAATGATTTTCAATCTGACCATTGCCAGCAAAGTTTGGTAAATGTATTAAATTATAAGGTCAATGCGGCACTATGGCAAGAACAATAAGAAATTGATTAATCAATACAGCAGTACAAAGTGTTGGAATTATAATTATATACAGCATTTTATCATAATTTCTTTGAGTCTTTTTTTCTTAAAACTCTAATCAATAATTTTAAGTTAGCAAAAAATTAGTGGTGCATTCCCATTGGCTAGTCAGTTTTTAAGTGACAGCTCAGTGTCCTGGACTGGCTGCCGCTATCCGTCATATTGCAGAGGTCACAGTCTGCTAGTAAACAAATACAATGTGTACTGAGAGATGCAGACTTCATTGCAAAATCAACTGTAACTCACTTAATTCTTAACCAATTTTCATGAAATATTGTTGGGTATATGAAATTGAAACATTAACCTTCTAAATAGCCACACCTTCCACTGTGACCAAGCAGGAACCTCCGGGTCTGAAAAGTGAAGCAAATGCTGAAGGGCCATAAACTTGCATTCCCTCAGCAGGGGGCAACTCCGCTGGTTGCAAAAAGGAGTCCAATTGCATTTTTTCTTTGCCCTTGTCCCCTTAGGTCTCTGTACAAAATGGCCATATTTCTCACTTGATTTATTACCTCAGTAAACACCTTCCTAATGAGTTTATGTTTTCAATCACTAGTTTCATTAATACAACATGATGTAAACTATGGTCCCATTTGGAGTAAAATAGACAATAAAGCGAAGTATGCTTTAGGCTACCTTGTGATTGACATGTTGCTACCACAGTGACCTGTCAATCAGGATAGAGGCGAATCATATCCACTGCACTGTGTACATTTAACTAGCAATGAACTTGTTTTTGCATGCTGTCGGTGTTGTTGTTTAAGAACTCTGTGTTTTCATGTTTCATGGTAACTTTTTGGTTGCCTAAAAATGTATTGTTCAGCGGTCAGTTGTACTAAAAGATAGGAGTGAGCTGTTAATTTTTTGGTAGTCCACAAACCAATGGGTGAGTCACAATGGCTACTTCCACTTTTTTTATACTATGTATATAGTCTTTTACCATGACATGCAGGCTCCGATCTATGAATAGACACCATCAAGTAAATTATTTCGAATCTTAGCTTTTGTGTTTCTCCAAAAATGTAGATTTCTATATTTATTATATTGTTAAAGACACCTGCTTGCTTGTTATTTTATCAATGATAAAATAAAGTAATCAATCAAGTAAACTATTTTTGTTCTCCTGACTCCAGTGAAGAGAAGAACTTCTAGTCAGTTCATCTGTACAGCCCATGACACATATGATAACTCCACTTCTGCAGTCTGGACAGGTACCATTACACAAACAATGTCATTAATACTGTCTCAATCTCAAATATTTTATTTTCATCTTTATTAATTCACTTTAGACACTGATACATACAATAGTATAATACAATACTACAATACTATAGTATAATAATAAAACAATACTACAATACAATACAATAATATCATAATACAATACTACATAATGAATTTAGTGAGTATTTGAGACCAATGTTCAGATATACAGTGCAGTAATATCATCATAAAATAATCAGGATCTAGAGAAATATGGTATGAGTGACAGTAGTTCCTTGTTTTGGAAAAACTTAATCTCTCTCCATCTCGCACTCAGCAACATGTAAATAATATTAATATCCATATTCACTTTGCGTTGTCCAACTCGTTGATGTTGTTCGACTCATATTCCTGCCACTCCTAGTGTTGGTTTCCAACTGTTTTGTTTGATTATCTGTGTTTCCAGTAGCAGCGGAGGTGAAGCAATTTTTTGTGCACTAACAAAGCTCTGCTTTATATGTGAAAATAAAACACCAATACAAATGTTGCAAACGAATTTGGGTCTCTGAAATTGTACCATATACTGCATGCTGCAGAATAAATTTGGGGCCAATCAGATGCCTCCCTGATGGTATTGCATGATAAATAAGTATCTGCCTGTACCTTTTAGCTTTGAGAGGACCATATATTCTGAAAAAATCCTCAACTCCATTTGCAGAAATGCATCCCCAAACCTGCATGGAACCTCCACCATGATTCACTGTTGCCTGCAGGCATTCAATCTTGTACCGCTCTCCAGCCCTTCGGTGAACAAACTGCCTTCTGTTGCAGCCAAATATTTTCCATTTTGACTCTTCAGTCCAGAGTACCAGCTGCCAATTTTCTGCACACCAGTTCTTGGGTTTTCGTGCACAGCTGAGTCGCTCGGCCTTTTGATTCCATGTCAGAGGTATGTTTTTTTGGCCCATGGACAGTAGATGGGTGTACCAGGGTGCCACTGTTTTCTATCAGTTCTGAGCGGGTGGCACTGCTGGACATCGTCTGACTGCAAAGGGAAGTAAGCAAGATAAGTCCTGGGACAGAAAACAAACGAAAATAGAGTCTGTTAGTCCATGATCAGAAAAGAGCATAGCAGACTCAGGGCGGACGGCCCAACGACAGAACAAGGGGACTGAACAGTTCAGGGGAATTAGCTGGAGTTCGACCAGACAGGCTGAGCAGATCAGGCGGGCGGTCTGGGGGTTGGACTGCACACAATCAGGTCTGGGGGTCAGCTGGGGAGCTGAGAGAGAGGGCAGAAACCTTCAGAAGGCCAGACAGGAGGCCAGAGACGAGGACTGGAAACCTGAGGAGGCTGGGCAGGAGGCCGTGCAAGAGACAGGAGGCAGGAGGCTGGCAGCAAAGACGGAGACCCTCTGGAGGCAGGCAATGAAGGCAGAGCAGGAGGCTGACGGTGACAGGACAGCTGGACTAGAGGCCGGTGACAGGAAAGCTGGACTGGAGGTCGGCTACAGAGAAGCAGGGCTCAAGGTCGACGACGGAGCAAAAGGGCTGGAGGCTGGCAAGACAATGACCAGGCTGGATGCCGATGACAGGGCAGCCGGGCCGGAAACCAATGAGAACAGGGGGCCTAATAGGTGAGTCAGTGATTCCAGGGAAACAAGAATTTGCAGCAACTCAGACACCAGAGTCTGCTGCAGTAATTCGAGCTCCGGTAAAGGTGGGTTGAGGGTTGTAACGGTCATTTTGGCTAAGGAAACAATTCATTGGGTGCATCCGGGGTAGTGATTAGCTGCAACATGGCAGAGACAGGGAGCTCAGTGAGAAAGAAGCACAATGAACTGTGAACAGAGGGACATATTATCCAAAAAGTAATAGTCCAATAGTTTGATTGCAAGTTTTACTTTTGGGATTACATTTTTTTGTTTTATTCTCTCTCAAATTTTTATTTTTGTTTGATATTTAAGAAGTTTTGTTTGATTACTTTGAAACCAATCCAATTCCATACACTTCATGCCTATAGAACAGGTAATTGTATAGTTGTGGTGATCTTTCTCCAATGAACGTCCAGTTATTTTGTCTCACAAGTTGCTTTCTTATTACACATAGTCATCCATGCCTGGCTAAGACCCACACACACAAATACAAAAGGAGGGAAAACAACAGAGGGCAAAAGCAGAAGTGAGTCACAGCTTGTGACAGTACTGACCTCATGATTTAATAAATGTACCAAACATTGCTGGTGATGATCACGTGCAAATGAAAAAGAAATAAATGAGGAAAAGCAAACATGATGATGATAATGTTTTATTTATTTTAGAGTAGCAAACAAAATAATGTTCTGGGATGCAAGTGATTTAAAATGCATTGAAATAGAAATTGCTCTGAAATGTGTTAACATTGTTTTTCCAAATGGTTAGTATAAGTAGGTCACAAATAAGAGAATACATTATGGCTTCTATAAACTATCAGTGCCAATTAATAAAAAATACTGTAGCCGTCCATCCATCCATCTTCATCCGCTTATCCGGGGTCGGGTCACGGGGGCAGCAGCTCCAGCAGGGTGCCCCAAACTTCTCTTTCCCGAGCCACATTAACCAGCTCTGACTGGGGGATCCCGAGGCGTTCCCAGGCCAGTGTGGAGATATAATCTCTCCACTTAGTCCTGGGTCTTCCCCGAGGCCTCCTCCCAGTTGGACATACCTGGAACACCATCTGGAACTGTAGGTCAAAATAAATATCACTTTCTTCAATAAATGTTTCAACATTTTCTTTTCGTACACGTGTACATGGAGCTGGTTCACTTAACTTGGTTCACTTAATTGGTTCTGGTTTAATACATTAACTGGGAGTTACAATATTGCTACAATTAGACTCTTATGTATATAAGGCTAATATTTTAGCTGATATAGTTGTTGAGTGCATGGGGCAATGGTGATATTCACACAGTCCTTCCCTGAAGCAGTAGATGCTCTCTCCTGGTGACTGTCAGCTCAACAAGTTCCAAGTCTAATCTTTTCCGGGCGGACCGCGTAACGGAGCTCACAGAAAAAAAAAGGGGAGGCGGACTCTGTCTCTACATAAACGAAGGTTGGTGTATGTCACAATGTTGAAGAAATCATGCAGTCCTCACTTAGAGACATTATTCATAAACTGTAAACCCTTTTATTCACCGCAGGAGTTTTCCTCCTTTGTCCGGGTGGCTGTTTACATTCCACCTCAGGCTTGTGTTAATGAGGCATTACTACACCTGGCCGACCAGATAACTAACGTGGAGAAAAAACATCCAGACTCCCTGCTCATTGTTCTCGGGGACTTCAACAGAGGAAACCTCAGCCATGAACTTCCAAAGTACAGACAGCATATTAAGTGTCCCACCAGGGACACTAACATACTGGACCACTGCTACATTACATTA